TTTCTCAAGGATTTCCTGCCTTTTCCTGAATTCTTGTTCTAACCAATTCTTGTTTAGTTCTTGTTAGGCTTGACCATATGACTTGCTTTGGCCAATAAAATGTGAGTGGAGGGGGGATATTAGCTAATAATGATGGGAGCAGGGAGAGCCTTTGTCTCACACCTCTGCCCCATCTCTCTCACCCCCTCCTCTTTCCTGAGGCCAGCACGTCTCAGATAAGAGCTGCTCCCTTAGCCTAGGTCCTGGAATGATGATAACACAAAAAAGAGATGCAGCCCACCCATGAAAAACATGTGAGAAATAAATCTTTATTGTCGTGTAAGGCACTGAGACGTTGAGGTTGTTTCTAAACATAGAAAAGCAGAACCTATGATGATAGATATGTGTGTGTGTGTACACACGCATGCATATATGGTCATGTATTGCTTAATGACAGAGATATGTTCTGAGAAATGCATCCTTTGGTGATTTTGTCATGGTGCAAACATCACAGAGTGTACTTACAGAAACCTAGATGGCAGGGCCTACTATGCACCTCGGCTATGCTGCCATATGTGTGATCTGTTGTTGACCAACTTCAGTACTTCTTAGCTTATACATCCAAATGGGCAAGATGACCTCTGCTCTGCTTCAGTTCTATTTCAGTTAGAAATGCAATGAAATTGAAAGCAATGGGGATTAAATGGAGAGAATCATAAGAAATGGAATAAATAAGGAAAAACCTAGGCAGCATTCGGGTATTAACTGCTGAAAAAATAAGTGCCTGTTTTAAAATAACCTTGTATGTATGCAGTATCAGTGACAGTATTGTTTACTGTAGCAGTAGTTAGGAGAATGGGTGTGGATACATGCCTAATATAAACTGACGTGAGAACACAGACACAATATATGCATATGCCACTCTTACACGTGGGAAAATGAAATCATTTAATGGCAGAAATCCACCAGGCTGTGTGCACACTAAAGCCTAGCTGTGGGTAGTGGGAATTAGAGGTAGATACTCTGAACCCTCAGAGTGGGATGGTTCAGTTATCAATAGACGATTCTGTTGTTATTTATACAGTCTGGAACTGAACGAGCCCTTCAAATAACACTAAGCAGAGATAGCAACAACAAACAGAGCCAATCCACCTTTGAAATAAAAGCTCTGGTGTCCATACAGATCAGGTTGAGCTCAATCAACCCTGCACAGAACAGTCTAATCCTATTTGGTTGGCACGTGTCCACCCTCCCTCCCACACACCACTATAGCTTTCAGGCCACTGTAACCTGAGATGCACCCAATTGAGTCATGAGAATCTGACTTGATGGGGAGTTACATCTAAAACCCTTCCTGTTGCATCTGAGCCATTTCTTTCCTTTATTTCCAGATTTTTAAATGTGAGATGAAATTCCCATAACATCAAATGAGCCATTTTAAAGTATACAATTCAAGGTTCATCCATGTTGTAGCATGTATCAGAATGTCATTCCTTTTTATAGTCAAACAATATTCAATTGCATGTCTATATCACCATTTGTTTATCCGAGCATGTGTTGATGGACATTTGGCTGGTTTCTATCTTTTGGCTACCATGGGTAGTCCTGTTATGAATGTTCGTATACAAGTGTTGTTTCACTACCTATTTCAAATTATCTGGGTTACACACCTAGATATGGAGTTGATGAGTTATACGGTAATTCTACTTTTAACTTTTTAAGGAACTGCTAGACTGTACCGCAGAGGCTGTACCATTTTACATTTCCACCAGCAATGTATGAGGGTTCTGATTTCTCTGTATCCTCACCAATAACTTGTTATTTTCCTTATTAAAAAAATATAGCCATCCTAGGGAGCATGAGGTAATATCAACGCAGTTTTGATTGCATTTCCCTAATGACTAATAATGCTGGACATCTTTTCATGTGCTTATTGGCCATTTGGATATTTTCTTTGGGAAATATCAATTAACGTTTCTTGCCTATTTTTTCATTAGATTTTTGTCTTTTGGTTGTTGAAATATAAGAGCCTTGTCAGATATATCATTTTCAAGTATCTTATTCCATTCTGTGGGTTCTCTGTTCATTTTTCTGACAACATCCTTTGATGTACAAAAGTTTTAATTTTGACCTAATTCAATTTTCTGTTTCTTTCTTGCTCATGCTTTTGGTCTCATATTTAAGAATCCATTGCCACTTCCAAGGTGATGAAGACTTGACATTTGTTTTCTTCAAATAATGTTTTCTTTTAAGTTCTTAACTTTTTTTTTGAGACCGAGTTTCACTCTCGTTGCCCAGGCTGGAATGTGCAATGGTGTGATTTAGGCTCACTGCAATCTCCACCTCCCGGATTCAAGTGATTCTCCTGCCTCAGCCTCCTGAGTAGCTGGGATTACAGGCATGTGCCACTGCACCTGGCTAATTTTGTATTTTTAGTAGAGATGGGGTTTCTCCATATTGGTCAGGCTGGTCTTGAACTCCCGACCTCAGGTGATCCATCCGCCTCAGCCTCCCAAAGTGCGGGGATTACAGGCATGAACCACCACTCCTGGCCAAGGTCTTAACTCTTATATTAGGTTGTTCATCCATTTTGAGTTAGTTCATGTAGATGTGTGAGGTAGCCCAACTCCACTCTTTTGTATGAGGATCTCCAGGTGTCCCAGCACCATGTAATTAAGAGATTATTCATTCTTTCTCCCACTGAATGCTCTTGGCATCCTTGTCAAAAATCAATTGGATATGGATCTCAACAACAACAAAAAATCAAACTTATTTCTTCTATTTAACTGAGGCTTTGTGTCCCTTGGTTATCATATCCCCATGCTAAGAGAGTAGATCTCAAAAGTTCTCATAACAAAAAATGTCAAATATTAGGTGATAGGTTTATTAGCCTGATCTAATCATTTCACATTGTATTAAAAATTATACCATGTTGTACTTCATAGATACAACTATAATTTGCAAATAAATAAAATTTAAATAACAAGAAATTTAAATAGTAAACAAAAAAAGTTCTAGTATTTTTCAAGTCAAAAGATGAAGAAATATAAAATAAAAACTTCTACCAAAAATATCAATTGCCCATAGACGTATGGGCTTTCTTTTGATTTTGATGATGGTTTTGGCTATCACACACCTTGAAAGCAGATGAGCAGCCCTTTGCACTGCTGTAGGTTTTCTCAAACTCCTAACCACTCCGTGCAGTCTTTTTTTTTTTTTTTTTGAGACAGAGTTTCACTCTGCTGCCCAGGTTGACGTGCAGTGGCACAATCTCAGCTCACTGCAACCTCTGCCTCCTGGGTTCAAGAGAGCCTCCTGCCTCCTGTGTAGCCGGGATTACAGGTATGTGTCACCACACCTGGCTAATTTTTGTATTTTTAGTTGAGATGGAGTTTTGCCATGTTGGTCAGGCTGGTCTCGAACCCTGACCTTAGGTGATCCACCCACGTTGGCCTTCCAAAGTGCTGGAATTACAGCTGTGAGCTACCATGCCCGGCCTCTACGCACTCTTTGTCATCGTACGGTCATGATAACCTGTGTGCATTCAAGCCCTCTAATGTACATTATTTGCATTGATTACTGTTACATTTACTTTTGCCATTTGTTAAAGGTTGAATTGCACAAACATTTTGTATCCTATAAATGTTATGTTTGTGAATGTGTCTTAGGTATATACTACATTTTGGCCACAAAAGATCATATTTAATGCAGATAAATCACCATGCTATAATCAGTGAAGGGGATGAGCCTTGCTAGACTATGTTGTTTTTCAGAATTTGGAGCTGTATTCAATGTACACAGAACTTTAGATTTCTAAACATACTGTACCAAGAGTCTTGCTTTCTTTAAAAGATAGTTCTGACAGCGTAATTTATTCAATATGTGGTTTACAGTCAGACTTCAAGCCTGGTTCAAGTCCCAGCTCCTTCTCTTACTAGGTAGAACTTGAACCAGTTAATTAACCTCCACAAGCCTTAGTTTGCCTGTCTGTAAAATGGGGATAATAACAACACCCGCCACAGAGCTATGAGGACTTATGAGAAAATGTGCGTGGAAATACTTTATAAAGTGCAAGACAAATGTGAGTTACTATTAGTGTGGCTGTAATTCAACATCCGCAGGGGCTGTTTTACATTATATTTAAGTCATTTGTTCAATCAAGAAATATTTCTGACTATGTCTCAAGCACCATTCTGGACCACAGGCTCAAAGCTGTGAATAAGAGACACAGGAGCCTCACTCATCTACTGAGCAGAAGCAGGGCATATGCAAGCGGGCAAATCACTGAGGATGATGATGTCAGATAGCAGAGAGTCATATGGGGGATGTGGATGAAGAGACCTGGGTGAGGATGGTCAGCAGAGGAAGACCTTCTTAGAGGGGCTCCAGACACTGGAGCCAACACCTGAAGGACAAGAAAAAGCAAGGATGGAGAGATCTTTGGGGGAAGAAGACTCCGGACAGAGAACACCAGACATGCAAAGCCATTCTAAGGTGAGAATGAACATGGCAGAGTCAAGGAACAGAAAGAAGCCAGTTAAATTCAGTTCAACAATTTTACTGAATCACTTGTATATGCCAGGCAAAGGTCCATCCTAAGTACCCAGAATACCAGGCTGAAAAAGATTAAGTCCCTGTCACTACATGTCCAGTTTGGCTTCTGGTTTTCTATTCCAATGGCAATCACTTATGTGTAAATATTCACGATGACAATCTCACGTCACAAGACTGTTTAGTTTCTGTACAACTAGGAAAGTCTCCATTTTGTCCACTGAAAACAAATACAGGCTAAACCTCCTTAATATGCCTGGTACACAGTAGACTCGCAAGAAATGATAGTTTTTTATGACTATTAATAGGTTACTGAGGCCAATGTCACATTCATTAGCCCTCTGGTCTGAGGGAAATAGGCATCTCTGGTAATAGACCAGTCAGTGAATCAGTGAAACTAAGATAACAGGAAAACAGTATCTGTACCTCTCCAACACTTGAAGAGGAATTCAAAATAATATTGTGAATAGTTCTAAACAATTGTTTCTACAATGTATAACTGTCTGTTTCTAATACTACTCTCAACAAAGGTTGTTTAATGAACCAGTAATGGCTATCTAAAACAGAACGTTCCGAAGGGAGATAGAAAATATGAAGGGACATTTCCTGAAAACAAAACAAAACAGGACGAAAATCACATGATCTCACGGCATAAGAGGAGAGGAAAGAGGTGCCTTGAATGGGGCAAAGTAGGTAAAGTTATATTGGCTATCCATTTGAATATGAGTGCAAAACTGTAAAATAGGTATCCGAAATTTAATCTGACGAAACAGTTGAACATTTGCAAAGATTTAGCTACACGGATGTTCACTGCAGAGTTGTTTCTAATATGGAAAAAAAAAAAAAACATCTAACCATAGGGGGTAGTTAAATTAATTACAGAGCATCCATCCAGTGATTTGCTATGCAGCCACTAAAAATGATTTTGTTGTAGGTTATTTGGTGATCCAGAAATATACTCAGAACAAACCGCTAAGAAAGAAAGAAAGAAAAAAAAACAGCCTTGAAGTTGCCAGGTAATAAGATTCTAGGGTCACTTTAAGATTTAAGTAGTATGGTATGAATCTCTTGAATGTGCTTAGTGTTTATTTCAATAGGTAAAACATTTAAATGGCTCTCCAGCTACTTTCGGGCATTGGGGGCTGGTGTGGGGTATGCTCCCTTGGGAACTACTTCCTGCTTTGGCTAGTGTTGCACGCTGCTCCGTGCCTTACCCCTTCGCTGACTGTCCCTCCTTCACTGACTGTCCCTTTTCTGCCCACCATTATCCACGACAGACATCACCATTATCCCCATATGTTCCACTGTCGAATCTACATGTGTCGCAGATTTTACTAGATTAAGAGATAAGGGTGAGATGAGACTGGGAGGGACAGCTTCATTAAAGCATTATCTAGAAATCCACTCAAAATTATATGTTAGGCACCTGTGTTCTTAAAGCTCCTCAGTCATTCCCACTGACCTTGACACCCAACGAAGCTCTAGCTTCTTGCTCTGACTCCTCCAGGCTTCATGTATATATTTGTATATTAACTTAAACATAAACGATACAGTTGCTTTTTATTTTATTCCTTTCTTTTTCAGACTATGCTCTGACGGCTTTTACTTTCTAAATGATCTATATAGGTATTTTTTTTCCCTAAGTAAAGACTTATCTACCCAGGAGAGAAATTATGCTAATCCTCTTAGCAGGAAGCAGCTGCTTTTGGTTTCTTAAGGTTTTTGGCCCATTATGGTTTTAGATGTCTTAAATGCCGGGAAGACATGCACCAGAATATGGCCTCAGATACCTCTACCAGCTCAGGTACAGATGCTCAACAAATGTTTTCTTAAATCTATATTGTCTAATTTGTGTACAATGAAGATGTAATATTTAAATTACTTTTGTAAGAAGATGGCAATAAAATATTTAAAAATTTTAAATTTAAAGATACTACAAATATATATATATACATAGAGGCAGACATTGGCAGGAAATAGAATCTCTGGTAGATTACAAAAACCTTTGTTATCATATTTTTTGCTTATTTGTATCCTCTATTATTCAATGGGCATATTATGTAACAGTAAAATCAAGAGTAAATTTTATTATTATCATTATTATTAACAAGAAGCAATAACCTGATACTGAAGTGTATCTAAAAAAAAAGCTGGGATTGATTGGAATACAAAAGTTTAAAACCCTGGGAATTCTGTGAATGTGTACTGTGAGCCCGATACTTAGGAACCTATTTCACTGCATGTATACTGCAAGTTATTTATTCAAATATCCTCCCAATTAAGAGAGAATCAGAAGTCTTTGAAATTTGTTGGTTTGTAGGCACATGATTGGTTAATAACGTAGGGGACAAATGGTGTGGTCTACAGTCTCTCTTTGGAGAATTCAAACACTTTTTTTAAAGGGTGTGTCACCAGGCACAGTCCTCGGAAGTACATGGGACCAAACGTCATTAAGAATCAGAAGGCAGAACTCCCTCTCTTTTTTTCCGAGACGTAGTCTCGCTCTATTGCCAGGTTGGAGTACGGTGGCGCAATCTGGGCTCACTGCAATCTCTGCCTCCCAGCTTCAAGTGATTTTCCCGCCTTAGCCTCCAGAGTGGCTGGGATGACAGGCATGCGCCACCATGCCCAGCTGGTGTGTGCCTCTCTAGTATTCTATGGTCTCCAACTCTACGCTTCATTCCAGGGCTAGCCACGCATGCTGCATTTGTGTTTACAGGACAAATGCTGCATATTAGGGCAAGCAAAATCTAGGGAGAGAAGACTGCTTCATTCTGCACCTTAGTTAAAATTCTGGACTGATTATATCCTAGATTCCAACTTTCACCCCTCCTCATGATCCAACACATGAAAACAGGAAAAAAAAAAAGGAGTCTCTTCCAATAGGACTTAGAGAAGTGTGCATAATATTTTTTCTCAGCTTAATGATTTATTTAGCTGCTGCTGGAAGTTTTATCCACTCCAGTTTGAGGAAAAGTGCTTTTTCTGATTCCTAGACTCATGGTTCTTAACCTATGGCCTGTATTGGAGTTACCTGGAGGGTTTATTAAAGTTGCGTATCGCATAATGACTTTGGTGAATGACAGACTACGTATATCATGGTGGTCCCATAAGATGATGATATCATAATTTTAACTGTACGCTGTCTTCGTCTAGATATATTTAGATACACAATGCTCACTATTGTGTTGCAGTGGCCCCCAGAGTTCAGTACAGTACCATGCTGAACAGGTTTGTAGCTTAGGAGCAATAGGCCATACCATATAGCTAAGGTACACAGTGAGCTCTATCATCTAGTTTGTATAAGGGTATTCTGCGGTGTTTGCACGATGACGCAGTCACCTAATGACACATTTCTCAGAATGTATCCCTGTCACTATGTGACATGTGACCCCTCACGGTATCTGACTCAGAAAGCCTGAGCTGGGCCCCAAGCATTTGCATTTCTAACAGTTCCCAGGCGACGCAGATGCTGTTGGTCTCCGGTCCAGGGCCCACGCTTTGGAAATCACTTTTCTCTCCTAAAGCATTCACTTTTGGTTTCTTTCATTTGGCTCTTAAAAAATAATTGATGAACAGATGGATATGTGTATTGGCTTCTATTTTTCATTCTCTCATTATGGTCTGGTTGGGGTTTTTTTTGTTTGTTTTTTGAGACAGGGTCTCACTCTGTTGCCCAGGCTGGAGTGCAGTGGTGCAATCTTGGCTCGCTGAAGCCTTGCTTTCTGGGCTCAAGTGATCCTCCTAACTCAGCTCCCGAGTAGCTGGAACTACAGGTGCATGCCACCATGCCTGGATAATTTTTTGGATTTTTTTTGGTAGAGATGAGGTTTTGCCACGTTGCTCAGGCTGGTCTCAAACTTCTGTGCTCAAGCGATCTGCCTGCCTTGGCCTTCCAAATTGCTAGGATTACAGGCACAAGCCACTGTGCCTGGCCTGTTAATATCTTTTCCAAATACTGTACATGACAAGCTTCTGAAGTAAAGGACTATGTCTTTAGGCCTGTGGTGACCTCCTCCAAAAGATACATTCAACTCCAGTATCTGTGACTATGCCCTTGCTTGGAAATAGGGTGTTTGCAGATGTAATTAAGTTAAGATGAGGTCATACTGGGTTTAACGTAGGCACTAATCCAATGACAGGATTCCTTATAGGGAAAGAGAGATTTGGACACACAGACCCACAGAGAAAATGCCATATGACCATGGCGCAGAGATTGAAGTGAGGTAGTCAAGGATTGCTGGCAACCACAGGAAACTAGGAAGAGGCTAGAGAAGATCCTCCCCTAGAGCCTTCAGAGAGAATGGCCTGGAAAATACCTTGACTTCTGGCTTCCCACCTCCAGAATTGAGAAAAAAAAATGTCAGTTGTTTTAAGGCACCCAGTCCATGGTACCTGCTACAGCAGCCCGAGGAAACTGATAAGGGGCCTTTACATTTCTCATGGCAGAGAACACGGGTTACAGACACTCCTAACTCTCCGGGATCTAGATGAGTTATAATCAGACTCACATTAGCAGCATCTAGCTGACTGGTGTGGTGATGTGGGGCAAAGAATGCAGACATTTACAAAGGAAAGTGAAACTTCATAGGCTTTCCTGGCGAGATGCAAAACCCCAGCCACCTAATCTATCTTAGTGCACTTTTCATTTTGCCAAGGAAAAGAGCACAGATGAGGAAAAGAAGAAAAGATGGTCAAGAGGGAAGATCCACGTGGTTGCTGCACACGCAAGACACACTGCCGGTTTATCTCTTTCAGTTGTTGTGGTTAACTTTCTCATTTCTTTTTTTTCTAAGAGGGAGTCTCGCTCTGTCACCCAGGCTGGAGTGCAGTGGCATGCTCTTGGCTCGCTGCAACCTCTGTCTTTCGGGTTCAAGCAATTCTCCTGCCTCAGCCTCCCGACTAACAGGGATTACAAGCATGTGCCTCTATACCCAGCTAATTTTTATATTTTTAGTAGAAACAGTTTTTCGCCATGTTGGCCAGGCTGGCTTGAACTCCTGACCTCAGGTGATCCACCTGCCTCAGCCTCCCAAAGTGCTGGGATTACAGCTGCAAGCCACCGCACCCAGCCCTATAAGGTTCTTTCTAGATCAGGCAACTCCACATCTAGGTTGTCCACAACACGTCTGGTTTACTCCTGTATGTCTCATTTCACCCTTAAAAAATCTGTATACATTAGTCACTGTAATATAAATAATCACTTATGGTCAAGACAAGGAAAATACACTGGTACTTCCTACCTTTGAGACCTTGGTTCTTGCCAATTCCCTTTGACCCAGTCCTTCCCAGTTCTATACGTTTCAAATCCCTTTCACTTACAAGACTTTTCGTGATCCCAAAGGCCCTTCTTAGGTTTCCAGACCTTATTACAATACAACGTAAATACTATGACTTTGTATTCTTCTTCTTCTTTGTGTACACATCACTTTTTGCCAAAGTGTAACAACAACAACGAAAAATCTCTCCCACAACACGTAGCACTGTGCGTTTGGCATTACAGGAATATGATAAGTATTTGCTGACTTAAACACTGAACAGAAGAAATAGCACTAAATAAAGAACTCCTGCCAGTAAGGGCTGATCTCTCTGATGGAAAAACTATATCCGTGCAAGAATTCTTTGGTAACCATTTTCTGGAATGTCTTTTTATACACTAGGAGTTACAGAGCTGTCGCCAACGGAGGAATGCCAGAGCTACGGCCACCCAGTTGTCAGCTCTGGTTCCACACAAACCTTTTTCTTCTGGTTGCAGCAGACAAATTATAGCTCAAGAAAAAAAACATAATTATATTCCAAAAGGCCAGGGACAGCTGCTGAAAATACCCTCACGATGAGCAAAGTAACAACGAGAGATAAACCAGGATTACCCGTGACGCA